GCACCACCTCCTGCTTCCTGCAGGATTACGCGGGAGAGGAAGCAAGATTAGTAGAGCTGCCACATTTAGTTTGATTACACTCAGGCAATGAGCTTTCATGAATATACCAGGTTCCAAGTTAGTGCTCGGCTTAAACCTAAATAAGCCAAGGTCACAGCTATTCAGGAACTCATAAGTCTAAATGGGTGAATTCATAATTATAGTATACCACAACACATCCTAAGTAGAAACAAGAATCTTATTTCTAGCCCTGTCCACCCGACAACACATACCTATTTCTTCATTGTTTGAAAGGAGAGAAATTGTCTCTTTCTTTGGTATAGCTATCACAGTTAGATGAGATTCTTTAGGAAAATTGCTTGGGATGCTACCTGTCATGCAGTATATGCTAAATAAATAGTAATGTGCATTTATAGTATATAGCATAAAATGAGTGCTTGGTGATTTTTAGCTTACACCAGTATTATTTATTAAAGTGATTTATATACAAATAGTTTTCTTCTTCATCTTTGTACAAATTCCTTTAGAAGTAGCCTCCTTTCAAGTTGTGACCCTGGACTTTAGAATGTACTCTCAAATGGCCAGAACTTTCTACTCCACTATTCAAGTTAAATTATGGAGAATGTCAAAGTAGTATCTTATCCCAATCTCAAGGTCCAAATGTCCACACTTGAATTATTAGCATACATACATACACAAGGACGATCTTAGTAACAGTACACAATTGTATGTTGTTGGAACAAATAATGGTTTGGGGTTTTTTTTGCCAGTCCTGGGGCTCGAACTCAAGGCCTGGGCACTGTCCCTGAGCGTCTTTTGCTCATGGCTAGCACTCTACCACTTGAGCCACAGAACCACTTCTGGCTTTTTCTGTTTATGTGGTACTGAGGAATCGAACCCAGGGCTTCATGCATGCAAGGCAAGCACTCTACCACTAAGCCACATTCCCAGCCCCCAAATAATGATTTCCAAACACAGGAAAACATCACGGATTTGCATAGTAAGGGGTAGCTGTCTGGGTTGTACCTAAAACTAACCTGGGAAAATCCAGAAAAAGTTATCCAATATATCTCCTGTCTCTCACTCTCTCAACAACGTTTTGCTATGTTCCGCAAGCTGGTATAAAACTTACAATATTCCTAATTCACATTCTTATATGCCGGGATTAACAGTTTTATGCCACCATGCACTCACTGCTGACACGTATATAAGAAAGGCCAGGAAACCCCAACTTACTCAGCTGGCTGTTTCTAACCACTTTATCATAACCCAACTTTCTTTGCTTTTGCTCTTTTGAAAGGGGCTGGCTCCCTTTGTGTCCTGAAATACTTGAATATTTTTAGTATAATTTTCCCTCTTTGATGGACAGATTTATTTTCTATCATCCATAGTGAACTCTCCAGAGATAGAACGTAGGCAGTTAGGTTAATGAGGTTTTTGTTTTTCTCCTTTGCAAAAGATGCTTTAGATCAGTGTTTTGACATTCAAAGCCAATAGAATGATGGTTATCAAATGCAAAACAAAACAAAACAAAACCAATCCTTTATGTCTAAATTCCCTGAAACATACAGATTGATCTGTAGCGAGTTAATTTAGCAGCAGGTTACATGTCCATGTAGATATTTTCTACTTAACAATTTTTCATAATAACTGGCATGAAATTGATTGTCTTGGTAGCTAGAATGTGAAGAGTTAAAAGCCAAATGTTAGCCAGACACCAGTAGCTCATGCCTATAATCCTAGCTTCTCAGGAGGCTGTTGCCTCCTGAGAGGTTGTGTGGCTAAGAAAATATGATTATTTCTAGAGTCCCCTATTTAAAAAAATCATACATTTCTATTCTGTGCAATATTTCCCAGATAATGCTAAAAACAGATTTTTTCGAATAAACTACTTATTTTCATCCTACCTGGAACCCACAAGAGAACATTACATCTGACTTTTAATGTTTCAGTTAGAAGACCCTCCCAGAATAGCTGATGGCTTTTTGAATGACAATGCAAATTTACTCTGAACCTATTTAAAACATGAAAGCCTGATGAGGGTGCCTACATATCCAACACCTGACAATAATTTTCTTAAACATATCTTAACCTGTGAATCTCAAACTGTTGGTTATCAAAGTCACCTGGAGAACACCTACCCAGACCCCAGCCTAATTCAAAAGTCTAGTCTTCTGGGTGTTTCATAGCTCCTCAGGAGATTCTGATGCACACCAACAGTTGAGAATTGCAGATTTGCTCTTTAGGATATTTTCTAAAAAGAAACACCCTATAGCCCTGAGCTTTGACATAGTAATGGCAAACGTTCTTGAGAATAACTATTGCCAACCCTATGAACATGGTGGTCACGTGGGCTTCTCATTATTGGCAGCACCCCCAGTAGGTATATGCTAAAGGGCCTGGTGTAATGGGTGTCTCCTCTTCTTTGGGAATGGAATAGAAATTGCTTGTCCCTACCATCCTCCTGTTCTTGATAAGAATCAAGAATCCTTTTAAAAACTGTTGAGATTTCCCATAACCCACTCAGGACTTTTCAGCCTCCATTTCCCAGCCTTGCTCCAGCCAGTCCACTTGCCAGTTAAGCAAATGAATATCATTATTGTGAAGGTGGTTGCAGACAGTGATTATGGGCTTGTAAATGCCTCCTGTGAATGCAGCCCTTTTCCCAATCCATCTCAAGTGCTTAGAAAAGTGGAAGGCAATCTTATCCGTTCCCTCACCCCAAACAGAGTCTTATAAGAAACCCCTTCTTGCTGGTCCAATGGACATGCCCAGAAAACCTTAACAGGCTGTGCTATAAGGCAGAGTGTTCATTGGGTCCGGTGCCTTTCACTTTTCACCAAAGCTCCGATTCACTAGGGAGCAGAGACTGCCCAATCTGGCTATATTTTTTCATTTCTGTTGGCACTGGGAAATTAGTACTAATTTTTTTTAGAATTTCTGCAGAGAGAAAAAAATTGAAAAAATGTCAGGCTTTCTAAAATACCATGAGAACTTCAACATTTAAATTGAACTTTACAGGATACAATTTGCTGTTGCTTTAGCTTCTGAAAATCTAGTAGGTACTGTTGAAATATGCACGGGTATTTTTTTTTTTAATTTCTGTAGAAATAAAATGTATCTCAGGCCCAGAATTAAGCCTTGCATTCAGTCACTTTTTATTTAGTTCATGAAAACCTTAAATTCTCATAATGCTTGAATGGGTTCTACTTGGATATGTTTGGTTTGAAATACAATGCAATCCCCCAAGGCCTCCAACCACTGTTTTCTTTTCATGGAGGGTGCGAAAAAATGACTATTATTGCGTTAGTGGCTGACTTGGTTGAACCATGGAACTGAGGCTGGATCTTTCTGGTTCACCACGCTGTCAATAATGTTCTATAAACACTGAGAAGTACCCATATTTATTTCACTTATCTAATAACAATGTCTCGTGGGGCCCTTTCCATACAGTGAATCCTCAGAACTCTTCTCTGGATAAGATCAACGGTTATATCCCCCAAGTAGCACAATGTTGATTTTTGTAAAGGAGACTTTGCTTATGAGCCCATATTAAACTACTTCCAGCTTTGCATTTCTATTTATGAAGAAATTTCTATTTAAGAAAGAAAACATGTACTGATTAGCACATTGTTGTTGTTGTTCAGTCTTCCCTAAAGTGGAACTAGAAAAGTACATGGGCCTCAAGAGTAACGTAAAGACTCTGGAGTGGAACCATAACTTCCAAAAGTAACGGATGGTAGTTTACACCTTTAGAGAAAACATGCAAGCAACCTCAATTGAAAATGTCAGAGAGGGACCTTATATAAAGCTAAACTAGATGTAATTTGTGTTCCTCATTTGATACTCCTTTTAAATGTCTGAAAATTCCCAGGTCAGGGTGGACTTAACTATAAGCATCGGGATATGGACATTCATAGCTTTTTGGTGATTTTAGCATGAAGAAATCTACACTGATTATAGACTTTCAGTTATTGTATGGCCACTTGAACAGGAGGACTCTATATAGTTTCCCAATTTTGACAGGCAGTTGCTAAGAACTGCAGGAAATAAGGATAGCTGTATATTTCAATTTTTAATGTATATGCATGAGCATATATGCACATAAATTTTCTTTCTGATTTTTCCCTGTAAAGACATAAACAAGTAAAATTTGCCACTAAGGAGATAGATAGAAAACATTTTTCATGTTCTTGATACTTTGCCCATTTTCTAGATGACAGACCTTCAAATTTCTGTACACTGAATATAAAAAATACAATATGCATAAAGAAGCTGCTGGTACCCAAGCCAAAGAGATTTGGGACTCATTCGTTCTATTATGTTTCTTAATTTGCCATCCAGCTACAGTATTACCTGCTCTCCTTCATCTGATCTCACTGCCAGCTTGGAACCATTTACAAAACTCGTTTTTAAGATTTTGTTTCTTGAGTTTGGAGGAGAGGGTGTTTGTTTGGTTTTGTCTATATTTTGTATTAGAGGATTTTGTAGAAGGTTGTGGGAACAAAGTTGTCACTTACTGTGTGGCCATGAGAGCGTATCCACTTAAGTACCTGGGTGTCCTTCAGGTCAGCCTATGATAAAACCCAAGTCAAACAAGGCTGAATCCCAGATGTTTTACGTCCTGAGGATCTAACCTAAGGTCATGGCCAGCCTTGCCTCTCAAAGACCTCACATGGTCATCTAAGCAGTGACATAAACCAGCATCACCTTGCTCTTGGGCCATTGTTGCTGGCAGGGTACTGGTGAAATATAGCCATGGAGGAGCTAAAATCTTTCTGGAGACTGAAGGTAAAGGGAGTGTTTTGACGACTCCCAACACACAGTCCATCTACTGTGAGTGACGGAGCCTGCATCTCATCACTGCTGTCAGACAGAGGGCAGGGGAGTGCTGTCAGCCCCAAAGGACCAAGCAACAGCCTGCCTTTCAGAACTCGGCATCTCTGCAAAACCTTGACAATGCCAACAGCTCATCACCTCATGTTTTTCAACCCATGCAGAAAATGGCCTTCCAGCCTGGGACAAACCGAAACACTGTCCAGACCGGGAAGAGGACTGGAAGCTAGTAGGAATGTCTGAAGCCTGCCTGCATAGGAAGAGCCATGCAGAGAGGCGCAGCAGCACACTGAAGAATGAGCAATCCTCACCACACCTCATTCAGGCCACCTGGACGAACTCCATCTTCCATCTGGACCATGACGATGTGAACGATCAGAGCGTCTCCAGCGCCCAGACCTTCCAAACAGAGGAGAAGAAATGTAAAGGTAACCAGATTTTTAAATTATCACCTGTTTGCACTAGGTGGAAAAAAATATCTCTGTGGTAACTGTGTACTCTGTTTCTTTAGTGTGTGGTATCCATGTGTTTTCCTCAACTGTTCTGTTAGGAGGTTTCTTTATCTTCAACTTTTCTCTTAAACATAAACAAGTAGGATCCAGAAGAGAGCAGTTAATTTTAGTTTCACATTTTGTGTTGGGACACTTGGAGCAAAAACATGGCTTATTTCTTTAATTAGCAGAAGGGCTGTTAGTTTTGGCTTTAATTCTATTTTTAGATCTGAGTAGAAACAGACATTGTTGTATATGCAGCTACTTGCTCAGAAGGGAGTGTGTAAATGTATTCACATGTTCCTTTTTAGGCTTGTGCCAGCAGCTAGACAGATTACCTACCTCTTACCTAAATAGAAAAATGGGTGCTCAGAAGAGAGGTTTTAAGTTGTTGTCTTTTACTCATTAAATCCTTGTGTCATTATACTGAATGGGAGGGGTTATGGTGTTAAGAGGTTGTCACCTCAGAGGAAGAAAAAAGTTGAACTGGTCTAAATTCCTGGTTGTCTGAGACTTAGCCGTTCCTCACCTCGAGTGGCCTCCACCCCAACAGATGTCCTGGTGCTGATCGCTTTATGGTTTTAGGGCTTCCCCCCAAAAATGTGTTTCTCAAATCAATTTGTGTCTTCAGCATCTAGATTCCTGTCACTTCCCATCTTTTCTGATTTAGAGTATAAAAACTGTCATTTTGGTTTTTGTTGAGGACCTCTACTTATGAGAGAGGTTAAGTTGTATACTTTAAAAACCATGTCATCATATACCTAAAATTCACACAGTCATCTACCAATGTATAATAATGAAAATTTGCCGGCTTCCAAGTGTGAGCTATGAAAAACTTTTTACCTTGAACATAAATGCAAAATTGTTTGTCATTCTTGCAAAAGGGTGGTTTTGGTTTTTCTGAAAATACTTTAAAGCTCTTTGTAACTACCAGTTTACCTGGAAAATTAAGTGTACAGATGGTTTGAATTGAAAATAGGGTATCTGACTGTTATGGTTAATGAGAGCTCTGAGCAGTCAAAATTAGAGATGGTCCCCTTAGAAAGTTTTGTGTTTGAACCATCATATTTATTGTTTAAGAGATTTGAAATTTTGAAAGGGATAATAAAAAGAGCAAAATAGTATCTCAAAGGAATCAAGAGGTAGGATTGGTTTCTGTGGGTGTGAGTATGCCTACCTTTGTTTGAAAAATCATTGAGAGTTAACACTAGTGAGCAAATTTTAACAGATCTTCAAGTTTTATAGGCAATATTAAAACCTTATCTGTCTTTGGCTCATAGTCAAATGCCAACAAGAAGCTCCAAATGCTCTTGTGATTTAAGAAGTACTCTCATGAATTAAGGTTGACTCACTCATAACTGATACCCACATTCATTCATAACATCTACTTCTCATTAATGAGAAGTACTGGCCTGGAGTTCCTAGAGTTTCCAACATTATACTTTCAGTTTGTTGGTGTGCCTTAAAAATGAGAGGAAACTAGCATGGTTCCATATAAGGTAGTCCCAGCATTTAAGAGGCTAAAGTCAGAAGATTTCTAGTGCAAGGCCAACCCCGGTGACATAGCAAGATCTTGTCAAAAACTAAAGGGAGAGGGGCAAGAGGAAACAGTCTGAGTGCAAAACCCTAAAAAGTATAGAACAATAGCTAAGACCACATTTTCTTTTTAGATATTGGCATATTATGTGAAGGATTTCCCTTTCTGTCCTTGAGTAAACTGGCAAGATAGTTGATAAAATGAAATCAAATACTGTATGTAAGCATTTGACATGGACATGTCCTCTAAATTTAGTGTCCTCTAAATACCAACTGGTATTTTCTATGATTACTATTATTGGCTATGAATCCTTAAGTCACATGTATCTTTCTGTCCACATGTGCCTGGCAAGAAATGGAGAAAGGGGAGTCTAGCAGATGAGTACTGAGTCAGATATGCTGTTCCTAGGAAGTATGAGCATTCTTCCAGCTCTTTTTCACTGAAGATCAGCAATTACTCAAGAAGAAGGTATTATTGTTCAAGTGCATGATTCTAGTGGAAAAGAGAAGACAGTGAGATACATTTCCCTGTGATTTCCAGAGGTACCACCAGGGTTCACCTTAATCTGTTCATGAGACAGTGCACTTGTTGACCATGAAAATGCTACCAGGAGCCTATGTCACCAGGGCCCAAAAAATCTTAACTCAATTTTTACTCCCTCAGAAGGAACACCTGTGTTTAGAAAGGTACCAATGGGACCAGGAAAATAAAGTGGGTAGTCTTGTCTTTCCTCTTTGGAATCCATCTACTCATATGTTACATCTATTGTCACTCTGAGGACCATCAGATATGAGGAATTTGGAGCTCAAAGTGTGGTGGTCCAGCAAGTTGCACTAACAGTTCATTGCACAAATTAGACAGTTAATGTATTTTGTTTGGATTCTGTAATGCAGACCTGTATGATGGCCTTCAAGTTCTTGGAAAGAGATTGGTTGGATGTCCTTTTGTCCTGATGCTTTTTCCTCATGCTTGAACATCAAGAACAATATCCTGCACACAATAGGCACTCATATAAATACACTGATGGATAAATGCCTGAAAATGTAACCCAGATCTGAAATAGCAAGTCAGGAAATAAGTGCCAGTATGAGTGGATATCAGACTGTGCTTAACAGCATTTCCAATGGTTAGAAGTGAGAATCTGGCCAGATGCTGGTGGCTTGCACTTGTAATCCTAGCTACTCAGGAAGTTGAGATCAAAGGATCACAGTTCAAAACCAACCTGGGTGAAAAGTCTTATGAAACTCTCAACCAGCAAAAGGCTGGAAGTGAAGACATGATTCAAGTGGTAGAGCACCAGCTTTGAGGGAAGAAGCCAAGTGAGAGCAAGAGGCCTTGAGTTCAAGCCTAAGTACACACACGCACATGCACGTGCACACAGGTGCATGCATATACACACGAGAGAGAGAGAGAGAGAGAGAGAGAGAGAGAGAGAGAGAGAATCTGAGCTGTAATTCCAGCTACTTAAAAGGCTGTAACAAGGAGGGATTATGAATTCAAGGCAAATCCTGGGCAACACAGAGACCATGTCTAAAGAAGAGAGGGATGGGGGAGGGAGGAAAGAAGGAAGGGAAGGGAAAGAAACAAGAATCTGAGGCCCCACCTAGACTACTGAATTGGAATCTGGGGAGAGGGGCCCAGGACTCTGCTCATCAGAAGGCAGTTGAGAATACTTTTAAACTCTCAGACTAGGAATTGGTCTGCCATCTAGTGGGTACTCAAGGATGTATAGTTTTCCTCCTTTTGGTGGCCCCTATCTGGGAGCCATTTGACTCTGAACTCTTACTTGGGCCTTCCTTAGGCCTGGCTAAAGATAGCTGTCAGCTGAACGTCTGCATGCACTCTCCTTCTGGAAGCACATCCTCTTGGGTTTGAGTTCTTTTGGGAAGTCTGCACTGTTTGCCTGGTACCTTGATCCTCCTTTCATGTCTACAAGGGCCGGTGTGGTCTCCTGGAGCAGAACCATCAGTCAGGCCTTCATACTTCATGTTTGCCTCTGGACACTTGAAATTTCTTGAAACGCTGAACCCCAGCAAGACAAGAACACTGGGACACCCTCCCCCCAGGTATTAGGGTAACTACAATCTGCTGATATCATTGAAGCTTCTCTGTAGATCCCTGCTGTGCTTAATTTAAAAAGAAATCTTATATACTTAGGAAGGCAAGTCATAATAATGTTTAAGTTATTTTTCTCTCATTAAAAAACCCTTATGTTCTTTGAAAAAATTAAAAATTCTCTTATTATTAAAATTACAAATAACTTATTTGTTTCTTTTTAACTTTACTGAAAAGGTGATGGGCAGGGGGGTTATAGTTACATAAGTAAGGTAACGAGTACATTAGTTTTTAAACAGTTACCCCATTCCCCATGTTCTCCCTATTCCGCTCCCCGCCAAGCTGTAAGGTTCATATCCAATACAGTGTCAAGGGAATATCAATGCTGCATTAGTTCATCCTACAAATAACTTCTAAAAGTCATTTGTAACCCATCTCCCAAGGACAAGCACTTTACAATGTTTATTTCCACCCTTCTTTCTGTATATATTTTTACCAACTTGGGATCGTTTTAGGCATACCATCTTTTTATATTTTTGAATTAACACACTAAGCGTACCATTTTTAGCCAGCTTTAAATGCTTAGTAATATATCATGAACATTTCCCCATATCATTAAATATTCTTCCAAATCCTGACTTTTATTGCCTATAGATTATTCCTGCTTGTAGATGGGCCATAATTTATTAAACCAGTCTCCAAGACTTAGACAAGGTAAAGTAATTTTTGAAACAATATGTCAGCTACAGGGCAGACTATTAACTCCATGCTCTTCATAAAGGGAAGAAAATGAATCAAATTTATGATGACATCTTTAAATGATACACATTTCTTCATTTACCAAAATAACAAAGTGTTCTAAAAAAAATGGATGCAAGTCACTGTGTGCATTATAATCCTTCAAGTTAGACATTCACATTTTCAGTCGGTGATCACTATCTTTGTCCTTAAGTAAAACACAAGGACATGCTCAGATAAATGAGTATTTTAGAAAGTAGTAGATTAAGACGCGTATGCCTTTCCACCAGTATGACCATCTGCTCTCTCCATCTCTGCTCTCCACTCTGCCCTGCTCACCACGGATCAGTCTTCAGGCTCTCCTAAGAGAAGGACAATTCATACACCTCACAGGCACTACAACGAGCGTTTGAGCCTCCCTTATCAACACAAGAATAAGGGACCGCTACCAGCTTCTGGCATATAAAAGATAGTTGGGTGATCTTACATTTCAAAGACAGGAAAGAATACTAGGCCAGGGAAGGAATGGTTATTCTTTCCTTGCTTGTCCTTTTATCAGCATGGGGTGGGGTGAGGGAGAAATTGGAAACAAGGCAATGTCAAGGAA